GGGATCAGGAATAAATGCATCACTGTGAGACCAGAAAGTAATAGGATCTATGATTCTATTCAGTACTTAGGTTTGGGGAACTCATGTCAAGTCACATATAAATTAATTTTCGAAAAGTTATGTCTTTTCACCGCCATGACCACCACCATCACAACCACCATCACAACCAATCAACCATTGGTTTTGGATTTGATTTGGTTTTTGTTATCTTATATTTTTCTCTATAATGTTTGTATTATGGATGATGAGTTTGTTCAGCCATCATTCGTACTCAAAATTAGGCGTTGAACTTTGCTTCCACTCACTAATTACTATGCCCACCTACCTACCCACAAGGAAATGGAATACTATACTTTCCAACAAAATGAAATTATTCATTTCATTTGAGATGAGTAGAACCAAATATTTAAATCGTTTGTCGGTCATACCTATCACATTACTGAATCATGATCGTTCAAAATATCAATGAGAAGTTTAAAGTCTCATTTGTATTTATAAAATGAAAACAAAAATAAAAGGACAATAATGTACCAAATCCCAATATCCCAGTCGAATAATAAACTAGGCAACAAAAACAGGCACCTACATACAAATTAAGAGCAAACTGAAAATGAGGTTGTTGGATACAATAAATATAAAAGAAATAAAATCAAACTGTAGGAGATTGTGCTAGCTAGTCGACTCCTATTGACATCAATATGTGCATGCAATATTTATTTTCTGAGAGAAAAAGTTTTCAACTTATTTGCATGCAAAACAATCAAAAGCTAGCTTGGACAAAAAGTTTGGTTTTCTAAAAACATGTCGTGCTGCATCACATTTGCATGCAAAGGCCGAGCCAAGCCAATGCTTGCTTGATGGTGATGATGATCTCACGCCTCATTCTCATCGACCATATTAGCTCACGGCGTTTTTCACATGACGAAATCCGTGTTCTATTGCAATTGTCTTTTCCCAAAAGCACGAAATTTGCTTGACCCTAATGAGTTTTCAATTCAAGTTTCCATGCTGTATTTCCAAATTCCAATTGGTTATTAATGTTAAAAATGCTTTGATGCTTTGTAGGGGCCTGAATACTTGGGCGGTAGATAGTGACTAATCATCCAACTCCCATAGGTTTTGTTGCCCTCTAATTTGATTCGTAGAGCATCTGAGCATGTTCTTTCAAAGGTCCATCTAGTCATAAACACCCAACCCAAGCACCATGCTCTTGTTATTGTCTTGAAGGGCACTATTTATTTACTTTGATAATTAACATCTTGTATGTATAATTATTACCCTTTTTTCTTCTTTTACAAAACGATATTTTAAACTACTATTTAGTGAATGAAGAGGATGATCGAACTCAAACGGCAATAAGCAAGTCCACATGCCTTACCAACTAGCATAATCCACTTCTGCATATATAACTACTACTTTATTACTTAATAGAAAGAAAGAAAGAAAAAACCCAAAAGAAGGTACGGAAAGACCTCATAATAAGAGGTAGAGGAAACCCTACTAAACACAAGGAGAATTGAATGGGAAGTCAACATAGGTAAGCCAAACTCGACATCTTCCCAACCAAATTCCTCTGTTTTCCTTTTTTCATGCATATTTCAATAAAAACAAGTTGAGTTGGCAAACCCTACGGCCAAGACATAATAGAAAATTTTATTAGAGAGCGACTCACAACCACTTTTCCCTTTCCCCAACTTCATCTCAACCTTCCCTAAAGCTTTAAGATTTCGTACAAGAAAACTTGGGTTCACCCCAACAAGAAGATCGTACGGAAAATATATAATGATTTTTGTTGTCTGAATGAATTGTTCTATTGTTGCTTCTTTCATGTGGCCCGCAACAAATACAACCTTATCACGGATGGCCCTTCAAAGATATTTACTGAACATACAATTTGGCGAGAAAAAGAGCTGAAAATTTTAAAAAGTTTGACAAAGGAGTATCTCAGATAACCCAAATAGTTGTAAAGGCCAGTTTATATTTGCAGCACATACAGTAAGGCCCCAACAGGTGAAGGCCTGAAGCTGAGATATTCACACAATCAGATTAGGCCCACAAGAGGGCCAACAGTTGAAAATATAGTTAAAAATGGAACAATTTTCAAATATAGGGAACGGAATTTCCAGTGTATTACAGGAGAGAAATAGAAATGAAAACAAAAAGGAAATCTTTTTCGTGAAAAGAACAGCACACAACAAACCTCAATGGGGAGAATCATAACAAAAAATTTACACGGGAAAATTTCTATATTTGCAAATGATAAGATACAAAGTACACCAAAATCACCAACAGACACGTTGGAAGCATATCTCATGTTTGTGGGGTTGTAAAATGCACTGCTGGATTGTCAGCTGAGATAGGTGTGATGATAAAATGGGTATCGGGTGGCATGCATGTTGTACCAGGGAAGGGCCTGATGTCAAATTACAGACGTCCTGCATATCCTGCATCACATACTAGATCCAAAACATAGGAAACGGCACATCTGAGTATATTATCAAACAATCAGCTTGTATTGAGAAGAAAAATGTCCAACTAAGAATATGTGAAGGGCCTGAAGAATTAAAATTCATTGCTGACTTTAATCAACTTACTTCATTCTATAGGTTCTGATGTTGGAGGGCGCTCCTCAAGTAATGTTTGAACTCTCTGTAAAATATACCAGATGTAAGTAAAGTCTGCAAGAAAGAAGACCATACCCTACTTTTAAAACAAAAGTAGGAAGTTTGGCGTTCTACCTTTACAGAAGTTCCAACTTCATCAAGTTTCTGCAGTAGTGTTAAATCCCCATACCTGAGGGGCTTTGACGGGGACATCTGAAGCTGACAATAGAAAGAAAGAGAACTAATAAATATTGAACTTCTGAAAGACAATTGCCTAGCTGAATAAGATAAGGGCGGGCTTTTCCTAGCATTGATAATGGCTAACAGGTTCTCAAGGTTTAATCAATATGCCCAGATCAAGCTTGTCAAATATAACCAAAATAAGTTCAACTTCCTTTGATAAGGACCGGAAACATCTGGCATATGACCCTACCCTCAAATTGGGAATGTCTTCAAGCGTGGAAACTTGTCTAGAGAAAACCTCATTCGTCATGCTTGACAGGCGCATGAGGACAGCCTGAAATGGGACATCAAGGTTGATAAAGTAACTCATACTTAGTAAACTTGGGGATAGCTTTAACACAACTACAGTGAGTAAGTACCTTCCTGAAAGCACTGGGATTTGCAATGCCATGGATTTGAACATCATCGCTTGGCGGCCTTCTGACACCAACATGCTCTATTCTAAGTGAGTAGACACCATAGAGAGACTGCAGATATCCTGAGTATAACAATAGCATTATAGGCGGTTCTAAGACAGCACCAGCAAGACTAAGGTATTGGAAAATAACATTCATGTAGCAACTGACAATGCTCTTTACCTTGCTCAATTACAACATCAGCGACTGAAGGCAACAAAACATGCTTTTCTTTCTTCAGCACCCCAAAAATTGGAAATGGAACTGGCTTTGTAACCTGAGCTAAAGAAACAAAGCATCATCCAAAGGTAACCATCTGTCCATAATTTCATATAGCAAAACCAACCAACCAAAGTCCAGCAGCATTCAAAGATTGATCAATTGAAAAACAATCATATTAAACAAGAACAAAGCACATTCAAGAGCTCAAATTATCAACAAGAAGAAAAGGATTCAAACTTCAAATTTGAATTTACCTTGTAGACAATGGCATTAGGAGTGAGATAGAGCTTTCTGGACCGAATATCCTTGCGCAAAATGTATCTTCGGACTGGTAAATAAAGCAGCATGAAGAACCCAATTCCCCATGCCAATATTAAAAGCAAAGAGTAAAGAAGCCACTGTGCTGTTCGGAACTTCACATAATTCTCCTCCATCTCCTGAAACGAAGCTGAATACAGAACTATTTCATCTTCAGCTTCATTTGCAGTTTCGGATAGTAACCCTTTCTCCAAGCTATCTACGACGTCGTCCGAACCCATCTGAATTGCTCACAGATCCAGATGCGCGCAAAAACCCTAAAGCCCGAGCTACAGCCAACCACGAAATAAAGGTAAAATTTTCCCCAAATTGAACTACACGAAGTGTAAATAATTCGATCACGTTCACATGGAAACAATTGAAGCTTACCGATTGATTAATGTGATTGTTGGAGACTTCTCACGGGTTGAAGATGCAAGAGAAAGACGAGGAGGTTCAGAAGCACCTCTTCAGCTTTTTTCAGTTTTCAGCTCAGGCGGGCCAGGCACTGCAGTTTCATTGTGGGCTGGGCCAGGGTCCAAATTTGTAATATTTAGGGTCCAGCCCAATAATTTTCGGGTCGGGTTGGTGCTGGAATAAGAAGTGAGTACGAAGCAGGAACTTGGAGCACGAAAGAAGCAGCAGCAGCAGCAGCTCAAATGGTGGCCGCCAAGAGAAAAAACACACAAACAGAGGAAGGTGAAATCTTCTCGTCTTGCTCTTTCTCCAGCCTCGGCCTTCACTCAAACTTATGCGAGCAGCTCGAAGGTAATACAAATTTTTTTATTTGTGCCAAAACTATAATTTTATTCTCTTCCAAAATAATAAAGAAAATACCTTTTTGTTGTTTGAACGAAACAGAAAGGTTGGGCTTCAAAGCTCCAACTCTGGTGCAAGCTCAAGCCATCCCTGTAATTCTCTCCGGCCGCCATGTGCTTGTGAATGCGGCTACGGGCACAGGCAAAACGGTGGCGTATTTGGCTCCGGTTATCCACCACTTGCACTTGTACCAACCTCGAATTCAGCGCTCCGATGGCACTTTCGGTAGGTACCATACAAACATAGCATCGATATATTTTGTGAACAAACTTACAAGCATGCTTGTAAGCTCACATACTAACATTGACGTATGCTTGTTTTGATTGCTAGCGTTGGTTCTTGTGCCAACGCGAGAGCTGTGTTTGCAGGTTCATGAAATCCTGCACAAGTTACTGCACAGGTTTCATTGGATTGTCCCTGGTTATGTAATGGGAGGTGAAAACAGGAACAAGGAGAAGGCCAGGCTGCGCAAAGGTGCCCGAAATTTAATTTTTGGTTATTGGTTTTTGTTAAAGATATTTTTTGGTATGGTCTGCTCACAACCCATCTGCTTTTTTCAGGCATATCAATTCTTGTTGCAACTCCTGGACGACTCTTGGATCACCTGAAGAATACATCATCGTTCTTGCACACAAATTTGCGTTGGATTATCTTTGATGAAGCAGATAGGTATGCTACACATACACCATTCGAGTTTTTATTATATGCTCGATCATGAATGTGTACAATGCTATTATTGTATCCAATTGTCATTGTATAATTTGACGTGCATTCATTAGATATCCATATGTTTTTTTTACAGAATTTTGGAATTGGGATTTGGAAAAGAAATAGAGGAAATACTAGATCGTTTGGGTTCAATGCAACATGGCTCTGCCACTGAGGATAGTGTTGTTTCAACTAAATATGAGTTTCAGAGGCAGAATTTGCTATTATCAGCGACCTTAAATGAAAAAGTCAATCATCTTGCGAAAATGAGTTTAGAAAAACCTGTTATGATTGGCATGCCTGAGAAAAAGACACAGTCAATTGCATTACATGAGCATTTAGGATCTGACACAGATGATGAACCACAACCTTCAGTAAAGACAACAGGCTCTTTTAGTGAAGATTATAAACTTCCAGCTCAATTGACCCAGAGATATGTAAAAGGTATGTGCCAATACTTTTCTTTTCTTTTCTTTTTTATTGTTTTTTGGGGAGCGCCGGGGAGGGGGGGCAGGGTATGATTCATTAGACTACATAATAGATGTGGTGATTAACTGTTGTGATCAAATTTCTTTGCAGTACCATGTAATGCACGGCTTGCTGTACTTCTTTCCATTCTAAAACATCTTTTTGAGCGAGAAACTTCCGAAAAGGTAAAGCCTACTTCTCAACCTTCCATTTTCTAATGGTTATGGAAGCTAGCTTTCTCTTTCTTTGGCAGTCTTTAGAATCTTCATATTCAAGATTATACTTTTCAATTCTGTGATATTGTGCTAGTGAGTTCATATAAAGGGATAATGTCCTTCAGCATCAATGATGTATCCTATTTACCACATCCTGAAATCCTCGAAGTGATGTCTTATATTGTTAACAGAGTTTGGGTCTTTCTATGCAGTCTTCAACTTCATTTTATTATGCTTTACCTTGTCAGTTCTCACTCACTTGCTCATTTTACAGATTGTGCTATTCTTTTCAACATGTGATGCAGTGGATTTTCACTACTCCTTGATAAGTGAGTTCCAATTCAGACCTCACTCAGGACTAGAAGCAGAACTTAAGCAGATGTTTGTTAGATGTAAGACCTTTCGGTTACATGGGAATATGAAGCAGGAGGATCGAAGAACTGCTTTTGAAACCTTCAAAAAAGAAAAATCGGCTCTTCTGTTGTCTACAGATGTTTGTGCTAGAGGTTTGGATTTCCCAAAAGTAAAATGTATCATACAATATGATTCTCCAGGCGAGGCTACTGAATATGTTCATAGGTATTTAAACTTATCCATCTTCATTTTTCTTTTCCCATTTTATCCCCCCTCTTCTTTCCTGCATGTGCAACAATATAAGCCAGAGTTTTGATTGTTTTCAGTCCATGGATGCTCATTCAACTAAGTAACACTTTTATCCGCAGCATTACATGATTATACATCATCAAAGTTCCTCATGAGATGCATAAGAAAATAACGATATCCCAATATTTTAAATTATTCAAATATTTGAAAAGCCTTAAGAACTAATTGGTTTTAAAACGGAGTGATGTTGTTTTTTCAGCGGCTAAAATTACAAGGTTATTTATTTTGAAGTTTTGTTTCTTAGCATGGAATTTCACTACGCTAAGTCTATCATGCATCTTTAATGTTTTTCTTGATATTTATTTCATTCTTGATGTAGAGTTGGAAGAACCGCTCGGCTTGGCGAAAGAGGAGATTCATTGTTATTTTTACAGCCAATTGAAATGGATTATTTGAAAGAGTTGGAGAAACATGGTGTTTCCCTACGGGAGTATCCCCTCCTCAAAGTATTAGATAGTTTTCCACTATTTGGTCATAAGCATGTCAGGAAGTTTCTTTCCATTGACTCACATCCTTGGGTGATGTCTTTGCAAAAGGCACTTGAAGCATTTACAGAGAAGGTACTTCTCTTCTCCTGATTCTTCTTCAGTGTGCCTAAAAGTATGCTTTGTCGAGCTGTGTTTGTACTGTGAAGAAAGCCCTCCATCCAGTTTTGGACTTTTTCTTAATCTTTAGCTATCTCGCCTTATTGTGAAACCTTAGCAAATGACTTATCCAAACCAGATACTTAAGGAAATATCGTTTTACTTTTAATATGTTTGCTGGGTATGCCAGCCAGATTTATAAGTTTGAATATTTGTAATAATTATGAGTTTCTTTCTTTGTGATTAACATTAACACATTGCCTTCATTTCTTTTCTCAGCCAGATACGAAGACACTGGCCAAAAACGCATTTTGCTCTTGGGTTCGTGCATACACTGCCCATCGTGGTGAGCTGAAAAGAATATTTATGGTGAAGAAACTTCACTTGGGACATGTTGCAAAAAGCTTTGCCTTGAAAGAACAACCTTCCTTGGTTGGTAAATCATTCCAGAATCAAGTAAAGAAGAGGAAGAGGGATGAAAAGCAAAAGGGATTATCAAGAAAGAGGAAGGTTTCCAGGAAAACATGATTGCAGACTTTGATACCAACATATAGATGGTTGTGGGAGATGCAATCATGCAGATGGGTAAAAGCTTGTTTTGGTAAGAACATTCGTATGCTGTAACAAAGTTTGCATGTATTGCGGGCTTCCTTAGAATACTTGCTGTCACCTTGTTTCTCTGTGAAGTGATGGTGGTCGACTTCGCTCTCTGTAAAGTATGGTTCATTTGCAATGCAGTTTTGCTGATGCTTGCAAATTTAAAGAGAGAGTTTGCTGTTAATTTAAATTTGTTTTGACACACTTGCAGTCAATAGTCATTTGTTGTAACTTGTAACTACGGAATCTCAATTCTTAATCCGTGAAAACTTTCATGCAACGGGATGCCATCGTGACAAGGATTCCAAACTAATCAATCATTGCCATGTGGGAAAGTTAAGACGCATGGCAGTGCGTGATTAACTTGAATACCGCCAAAGAGACATCTTCAATGTATATTAGTTTCTCTTTGTAGCCATAGCTCACCTTGTCCAAATGTAAGCCAGTCTACAATTTTGGGCCACAACCAGTGTTGTTCTCTCTGTAGCACTCTGGGAGCACCATTGAGATTAATGTGATTGCCTTATCGAATTAGGTAAGTATGCATAATGTACCACTTGTTCAATGATGACCTTACCTTTCCTACAAAATAAGGAAATCGATAAAATATGGGAGGGCTATGTACTTATGATATATTATATTAGTCGACCAAATCCACCGTCCTCATCATCTCACATGCTCTCTCACAGAGAAGAAAAAAATTTCATCAATGGTTTTGTTGGCATTGGAAGGAATTGTACAGTTCTGTCAGTTACAATAAGTCCGGTGATTTTAATGCATAATTGTTGTGATCTTATGTAAGATGATTTTCAATATGATGGACAATGTCAACATTGTCCACAATCCATATAAAATAATGACTCATTTGGGAGTGATTTTAAATAAGTCAAAATCACTTTTGAAGAGAAACACCTCTTATCTACTTCTTTAAACAAAAAAAAAGAGTTTGGAAATATTATTTATGGTACTAAAGTACGATTATATGATATAATTTGTCTGTGTTCTTTTTTGTATGTCAGAACATTAGATCAGATTTCAGTGTCAACAGAGTGAAACCTACCAATAATAACAATATAGAAGATTTAGCGACCTGATGAGCTAGTTTATGATTAGAGTTTGATAGACCAGACACATTTGCTATTGGCAATTGGCCAAGAAAAAAAATTATCGCACTCTTAAACTCTTTTGCCATGCCAAGCCAAAATGGATGTTCAATTTTGTGAATAATTGAACAGAGTTGAGCAAGACGTTTGCAAACAGTCAACCATATGTTAGATAAAAGGTCAAAATCAAAGCCACATGGATTGACGGAGCTACGGAATTCGGGTGGGCCCAAATCAATCACATCCTTACGATCATTTCATTTCCTCCCTCAAGGCATCAGACGCGTTGACG